TAGCAGCAGATGCAACGGATGAACAGAAAAACGCGCAGAAGGAAGTAAGGAAGAAGGATCAGAAAGCATTATTCTTTATTCATCAATGTGTTGATGTAAATGTGTTTGAGAAGATTGCAGATTCAACGACAACAAAGGTTGCGTGGGACACACTGGTTAGATGTTATGGTGGTGACGCATCAGTGAAGAAGGTGAAGCTTCAGTCCTTGAGAAAGCAATATGAGAATCTCAACATGAAGAATAATGAGAAAGTTTCTGAATACATCTCCAGAGTGATTCTGATCACTAATGAGATGAAGGCGTGTGGAGAAACTCTTTCTGAAGAAACAATCATGGAGAAGGTATTAAGATCCCTTACTTCTCAATTTGATTACATCGTGGTAGCAATAGAACATTCCAAAGATCTGAGTACCATGAGAATTGAAGAGCTGCAGAGCAGTTTAGAAGCGTAAGAGTTGCGTTTGACTGAGAGAACTTCTGAAAGGGAAGTAGAGCAGCATGCTCTGAAAGCAACTTCTGATAGGAGGTATCAGAAGCAGTCAGAAGCCAAGAGAAGATCTGATGGTGGTCAGAAGTCAGAAAGCTCAATCTCTGATAGGCAAAAGAATGCTCAGAAGGGAAAAGAGAAGTATGACAAGAAGAAGATCCAATGTTACTGTTGTAAGAAGTTTGGTCACTTTGCTAGAGATTGTTGGTCAAACAAGGAGAAGAAATCAGAAGAAGCAAATATAGCCAGAAGTTCTGATGACGAATCTGTGCTATTGATGGCCTCTGAATCTGATGATCTGACAGACTGGTGGTATATGGGCACTGGTTGTTCAAATCATCTTACTGGAAACAAGAAATGGCTGGTTGACTTTGACTCTGAAAAGAGGACAAAGATCAGATGTGCTGATGACAAATATCTTAATGCAGAAGGTATGGGAAATGTCAAAGTGACTCTGAACAATGGGAAAACAGCATTGATTCAGAACGTGTGGTATGTACCTGGCATCAGAAGCAATCTGATGAGTGTGGGACAATTAATTGAGAAAGGTTTTTCAGTTACCATGAAGGACAATCTTCTGAAGCTGTATGACTACAATCAGAAGTTGATTATGGAGTCAGAACAGGGAAGGAATAGAACATTCAAGGTGAATGTCAGAACTGCAGACTCAGAATGTCTTAGTGCAACATGTGCTGAGAAGGAGAGTGAGCTGTGGCACAGAAGATTTGGTCATTTGAATTTCAGAAGCTTAAAACATCTGAATTCAAAGAAGTTGGTACATGGAATTCCTGCAATTAAGAAGCCTGAAAAGTCATGCAAAGTTTGCATGGAAGGAAAACAACCAAGATTTCCATTTGCGTCAGAAGCTGCTCCAAGAGCAAAACATGCCTTGGGAGTTGTACATTCTGATGTGTGTGGTCCATTTCCAGTAGCATCAATTGGAGGTAATAAATACTTTGTGTTATTTGTTGATGAATTCACAAGAATGACATGTGTATCCCTTATTAAGTTCAAACACGAGGTGTTTGATGAATTCAAGAAATTCAGAATGAAGGCTGAGAATCAGAGTGGTCAGAAGTTGAAGATTCTTAGAACTGATAGTGGAGGTGAGTATAACTCCAAAGAGTTCCAGAAGTTCTGTGAGGAGAATGGAATTGAGCATGAGGTTACTGCTCCTTATACCCCTCAACACAATGGTCTTGCTGAAATAAGAAACCGCACTTTGCTTGATATGGTGAGAAGCATGCTAAAGGAGAAGAAGCTTCCTCAGAAGCTCTGGGGAGAAGCTGTTGCCACTGCAACGTATGTACTCAACAGATGTCCTACGAAGAAGTTGAAGGAAATAGTTCCTATGCAGAAGTGGACTGGAGACAAGCAAGGTGTTAGTCATCTGAAGGTGTTTGGTTCTGTTTGCTATAAACATGTTCCAGAAGCCAGAAGACAGAAGCTGGATGATAGAAGCAAAGTGATGATTCTGATAGGGTACCACAGTACAGGTGCATACAAGCTCTATTGTCCAGAAACCAATAAAATTGAATTCAGCAGAGATGTGATTGTGAAGGAATCAGAAGTTTGGAATTGGGATAAGTCTCAATCTGATTCTGATGTTAGAACTTCTGAAGAAAGGTCAGAGTTAAGAATTTCTGAAGTTGAAGTAAACTCTGACGTTGATTCTGACTCTGATAGTGATTCTGACTCTGGAGAAGACTCAGAAGATGAAGGTGACTCTGATGATCCAGACTCTGATGGTAATCCAGATTCTGGTGGAAATTCAGACTCTGAAGATGGCCAAAACTCTGAAAATATGCCAGATCTTGAAGATGGTCAAAGCTCTAGAGGAAGTCAACCATCTGAAGCTGGAAACTCTGAAGCTCAAGACTCTGAACAAGTTCAGAGACCACAAAGAATCAGAAGCGTTCCCAGAAGATTTGCAGAATTTGACATGCTGCAAGACACTGAAGTAGACTCTGAAGGAGAAGTTATTCAGTGTGCCATGTTAGTAGACTCTGAACCTATAAGTACAGAGGATGCTCTTAAGAAGAAGCTCTGGATGAAGGCCATGAAAGAAGAACTTGATGCTATAGAGAGAAACAAGACTTGGAAGCTGACAGAACTTCCAAAAGACAAGAAAGCCATCAGCGTCAGATGAGTTTTCAAGCAGAAGTTAAAGCCAGATGGCTCAATTGGCAAACATAAAGCAAGGTTGGTAGCCAGAGGATTTCTACAAAAACCTGGGCTGGATTACTCTGAAGTGTTTGCACCTGTAGCAAGACATGAAACAATCAGAATGGTGATTGCAATAGCTGCTAACAGGAATTGGCCTCTGATGCATTTAGATGTAAAATCTGCATTTCTGAACGGTCCATTAGAAGAAGAAGTTTACGTGTCACAACCTCTTGGATTTGTGAAAAAGAATCAGGAAGGGATAGTGTACAAATTATACAAAGCTCTATATGGATTGAAACAAGCGCCCAGAGCTTGGAATCAGAAGATTGATTCATTTTTCAAGAAGCAAGGCTTTCAGAAATGTGAGATGGAGTACGGTGTCTATGTTCAACATACTTCTGAAGGCAATATGACTCTGGTATGTTTATATGTTGATGATATACTGCTGACTGGAAGTTCTGAACAGGAGGTAGCCAAGTTCAAGAAGGTTCTAATGAATGAATTTGAAATGACTGATCTAGGCAAAATGACATACTTTCTAGGGATGGAGTTCAGATATTCTGAGAAAGGTATCATTTTGCATCAGCTTAAGTATGAATTAGAACTTCTGAAGAGATTTGATCTGAAGAATTGCAAGATGGCTGTCACACCTTCTGATACAAATCAGAAACTGGATTCAGACTCTGAAGGAAAGGATGTGGACGCTACAACCTTCAAACAGTTGGTTGGTTCTCTAAGGTATCTGTGCAATACCAGACCTGATATTTTCTACTCAGTTGGGATGGTTAGTAGGTTCATGAGTAAACCTAAGTGGTCCCATTACCAAGCTGCTGTCAGGATTCTGAGGTATATCAAAGGAACTCTGAAGTATGGAGTGTTATTTCCCTCTGGAGGAAATAATGAGTCAGAACTTCTGAGTTATTCAGACTCTGATTGGTGTAGAGACAGAGTTGACAGAAGAAGTACATCTGGATACTTGTTCAAATTTCTGGGAGGTTCCATTTCTTGGTGTTCCAAGAAGCAACCTGTTGTGGCGTTGTCAACCTGTGAAGCTGAATACATTGCAGGTGCTGTTACTACATGCCAAGCTGTGTGGATTCTGAATCTGTTGCAGGATCTGAAGATTAAAGTAGACAAACCTCTGAAGTTGATGATTGACAACAAATCTGCAATCAATCTTGCCAGAAACCCAGTGTTGCATGGGAGAAGCAAGCATATTGAGACCAAGTATCATTTTCTGAGACACCAAGTTCAGAGTGAAGTGTTAGAAGTTGTACACTGCAGCACTCAGAAGCAGTTGGCAGATGTTCTGACGAAAGCTATCAAGACTGATCAATTTCTTAGACTAAGGGATGAAATTGGTGTTACAAGTTTTGATGGAATATGAATTAAGGGATGGTATTAGAATATTAATAGTAATTCATATTTATTTATTTGTACTATTTTCTTAGCCCCTAAGTTTGTTAGAGGGTATTTTAGTATTTTATCTTATTCTAGTAACCCTAGTTTTAGCTTATAAATAGGGTGACAATCATTGTAACTTTAATCCTGTTTTTCTGTCGTCATTCTTAATAGAATATTTTTACCTTTTCATCATTTATTCTACCTTTGCACCAACACAAACTGAGCATTGAAGGCATTAAAAATGTTGGTAGTTTATCCGAAGCTCGAGCGGCCAATTTGATAAGTAAAAAAGATCTCCAAGATTTATGCTTGTCTTGGGACAGAAGTGTAGTATTTACTGAGGGACCTACAACTAGAGCAAGTAATTGACGCACTTCAGCCTCACTCAAATCTTAAAAGGTTGAAAATACATCTCTATGATGGATTATGCTTACCAAGCTGGATCAGTCTTATGACTAGTTTAGTTTCTCTTAGACATTTCTGGTTGTGACAACTGTGTGCAGCTTTCAGCACTTGGCAAACTACCTTCTCTAAAAAAAATCTATTTACGCCAGATGGATGAAGTACAGTTCATGGATGATGGTGAACCTCTTCATGGTATGGAAGTAAGGGCTTTCCCATCTCTGGAGGAACTCTCGTTAGACGGGTTACCAAACATAGAGCGGTTGTTGAAAGTGGAAAGAGGAGAGATGTTCCCTATCTTTCTGATTTTACCATCATCAATTTTCCAAAACTTGTGTTGCAACACCTCTCATTTGTTAAATACCTATTTGTAGATGGATGCAAAAGCCAGTTACTGAGGCAAATCTCTAGTTTTTATGGTCTTACAACTCTTCACCTTAACAGAAATGAAGATGCGACATTTCTCCCAGAGGGCATGTTGAGAAACCTGGCTTCACTTCAAACTCAATATCTGATTTCTTGAAATTGAAGGAATTACCAAATGAACCCTTCAACCTGGCTTTGGAGCATCTCTGTATTAGTCTTGTGGCGAGCTTGGTCTTTGCCAGAGCTAATTTGGGAAGGTCTGCTATCCCTTCAAACGATCGATATTGTTGAATGTGGAGGATTGAAATCCTTGCTCGAAGGTATCCGACGTCTCACTTCACTTGAGGTTTTGACTATTCATGGTTGCTCAGCATTAAAGAAGCGATGCGAGGAGGAAACAGGGGAGGATTGGTACAAGACAGCTCACATTCCAAAACTACTGATTTGGTAGAATGGAGACAGAATGTACACTTTTGGAGAGCATTGGTACAACTTATTGATACTTATATGCTTCTGCCGCCGCTGCTCTTCCTTTTGTTTCTTCCTCCGTCCTATTCTACTCATTCCACCCAATCTGGTAGGCTCTATGTTCCCTTTGCACTCTTCTTTTGATTGAATTTCTTATTAAGTAGTAGCAATTTCTCTTACTGTGTTTGCAGAATGTGATACTCTTGGATCTTAGGCTTGGTCTCTTTACTATGTGAGTGTTGCATTGAATTGAATTGTCAATACCAATGATCTACCGTAGGTATTTGTGATTCTTCCTTGGGCACAATGGATCAATTAGGTCAAACTATAAATCAAATTATTGTTGTTTTATCTCGTTGTACTGTCATAATACTGGAACTGACATAGTATAGATTGACTTTCATGATTTCGGTCAGTACAGGTGTCGCGACACTGATTGCTGTCGTCACGCTGTGAATTAACCACAATTTATTTTTTAATATAAAAACGGTGATAACGGCGTCGATATCGATGGTTGCTGAAACCATTTAGTCACGGCCGTTTTTGCGGTCACGGGCCGCTTTTTAAAACCCTGGTCCTAATACACGCTCAAACCATGTTGCTTGCTTATTCATATTGAAACAATACTTTGGTATAATTGGACTACTAGTGGCTAGTTTGATGTTCAAATAAGGATGAAGAGTTTCTTCAAAAGACATTCAAGAACCAAACATCATCACTAATATCTCATTTATCGACCAGAAGATTATTGTATTAATTGCATTATCATTATATCTAGAAATTGTGTAGTTTAAATGCATTGGCACATACCAAAAGCTAGTTACTCAGTTAGTCATTATTGTAGCTGTTTAGTTGGAATTTCTGCTATTCACTTATCCTGGTTTGTTAGTTGGAATTTCTGTCACTAACCTTTTCTTCCATTGTATAATACACCATGATTCAGATTCAATTGGAGGATGAACATGTACTTAGTATGTATCTAATGACCAGAACCGGATCATAATTCGAAAGTTGTAGATTGTTATCTGTCATGGCTCATATATAGGTAGACACTGAAGATAGGCAAGGGGCAGGTAACCCTTGCCCCTGCGTTTGGCCCAAACATGTCTTAGGCCCAACTGTTTGTTGTGGGGAGGCGACTCGGGGACTCCGCCCTGCACGGTACAGCTCAAGTGTATTATTGTAAATTGAGTCGCACTATTGTATATATTGCTTGTAACATTCTAACTCTAATTTCAACACAGAAAGAAATAAAACGGAACTATAGCTACTCTATAGTCGCAGAAGTAAACATCATTGTTCAAACTACGTTAACAAAGATATCGTGTTCACTGTCTTGTAGTTTTATTTCTTTAATCTTCTATATTGATTGTTGTTATAGCTATGCTAAGGTAAATAAAAAATCTTGCCACTAACTAGTTTGACAATTTTTCAACTGAGCATATAATTAACAGATAATTTATGATGATCCTGCTTGACTTTGAAATAAATTTAAGTGTTGGATGGAAATATTTATAAAGTGGCCAATATACTTTTTAACGCAACTTGCAAAACAACACTTTGCTTTTTGAAAAAGTTAATAGTTAGTGTTGTCCTATAAAGTGGGGAAGCTAGTTGCAGGTCCATTAGGATTATATCAGCCATGCATTCTTCACTCCACAGCCACAGGTAAAATCACAAAACACTGTGATGGTTAATTTGGACTAATGTGCACACAGTATTACAACCATCTCTATAAATCACTTTCTTAATAATGAATATGTTGTCTACCTAATCACTCTTGAATCTCACTTTGTACTATAATATGATTATTATATCTTAATAACATGATTAGTAATTAGACCAGAAGGAATATCCTCTATGAGATTTGCTTAGAAAACAAGATCTCATGCATTCTCAATGATTAATTAACAAAGAAAGTAGGAAAATGACTTTTTTTACTTGCAATAAAGGAATAGGACTTGAAGTACAAGTCCATATCAAATTATGCTTTCTCAAATAATAATTTGCTTTGAATAATACCATTAACAGTACCTTCCACTCACATGCATGCCTTGCAAGTATTTAAATTTCAAAGTTTTTGTAGTATGTTGGAATTCTACTATAAACTTCATTTGAAATCAATTATTCTTATACATTATAACAATCCAAAAATCAACATTAGGGACTTATTAGCATTGAGGTGTTCTTCTTTCACGAGGTTTTATGTGTTACATAGAAAAAATATTGTAACTTTCTTCAAATTGATATGCCGAGAATTAACCAAAACTCTAATGTAAGATGTAATAGAGTGGTTTTACAGTTGACTAATACTGATTGATTAGCATTGAAACATTCAACAATAAGCACATCATCTAGACTTAAGAGGCCTGAATAGTCTAACTTTTCGTTTCAACTATTTTACCTTTAACTCCATCATTAAAAGTAATATAGATGTTGAAGTAAGATAATGATCTCTCGGCAAGTGTATGATAGTCTCGCAATAATAATAAAACATTGAATTTAGAGGGAGTGCTATTTAACAAAGCAATATCTATGCAAGTTGAAAAAAATAACAAATGGGATTTTTTTTTTGAGTTTGAATGCGAAAAATAAAAGTTGTTCTTAAATAATGCAAAAGCAGTTAGGTTTTATATATAATTTGTTATTTATCCTTTTTTGATGTTCAATGCATTACATGAAAGAGAAAGTCATTATATTTCCACGGCGAATTAACAAAGACACTATATCCAATCTCTTAGTGTATAGCTCACTAATTCTTACTAGGGGTCTCATATCCATATTTAAGCAGCGTAAGTAAAATTAGAAAATGCAATAGTACATTAATTCAAATGCTCTTACTAGAAGTTTCATATCTCTATTTAACTAGTGTAAGTACAATAATTTTCCTAGTTTCAATGCATAGACTAATGGTCAGTATTCCATATGCACTCATAATCAAATTAAAAGAGTATCTCACATAAAAACATTACGCAAAAGAGGTAATTAAATAGAAATATAACTTTGCTTATTCATGTACTGACGAATTAAACATATGTCGCAATAGGTTCAAAATAAGTTCATAATACAAAATCCAACTTAGAGAAGTTTATCTACTCATAACGATACAATCAAATATCAAGCAATAAGAGGAAGATTGCATCTGAAGGTCCTTGAAGAACTGCCTTCCAATGGCTTTCAATGCTCTCAAAATCAACCTTGGTGCTTTTTACCGTCACTTTCAGTCAAAATTCGCAGAACCCTTGAAAAGATGTCAAAAACTCCCTTTTATAGCTGTCAAATCACTCTAGAATGCGTCAGAATAGGCTAAGAAATAGAACTTATCGCATGCGTGATATCTAGGGATGTAAATGGATATCCATGGGGACGGATACTATGATATCCGTATCTGCCCCGTTAGATAAATATGATATCCATATCTGCCCCATATCCATGCGGATATCTGTTAAGCGGGTAATCCACGAGTTTTACGGTATCCACGAATATTTACAGATATCCATGGATAATACTTTTTATAAAAATTATTTTTTAAAAAAATTATTTTTAACTTCTTTTAAAGACACAAAAATTTATTATCACATAACATCCATACAAAAGGTTCGACAGAGGAATGATGGAAGATCAGACGATAGAGGAGTAGGAAGGGAGGCACTAGTTCGACAGAGGAATGCCGATATTAGTTGGTTGGACTGTAAAATTGATGAAGTGAGGTATGAAGTATCAAAGAGTTTAAATATGAAATGACTAATAGAATTTAAATGAAAAGTGAAAGGTTTTCTTAAAAAAAAAATTTTAAAAAGAAAGAAGTATAAGAAGACTAATTTTTTTAGAAGATGCAAAGATAAGGTATAATAAACTAATGATATTTAAATAATTTTTATAATTTATAAACGGATATGGATATCCGCGGGTATGGATATCATTAAACCCATATTCATATCCATTAACAAACGGGTATTTAAATATCCATTTATTTTATCCATGGATATCCATTAAGCTACCTGCCCCATATCCGTGGCATATTTTATCCACGGATATCTGCGGGTATGGATATTTTTGCCATCCCTAGTGATATCCTTCATCGCGTGCACGATGTTGACGAAACTCATATATTGCACGTGCAACGTTGTGCCTAATTATTCGAGTAGCTGCACATTTTTACTCCTTTTTCCATTAGATTTTCACTAAGTCTTTATTTCTTCATACTTGATCATTTTTACATTTTTTTGGTCTTTGTCCTTCATTTTTGCTCATCTTTGAGTTGTTTTGCTCCGTTTCTTCGACAGAAAATATGCAATGACAGGGTGTCATTACAACCCCAAACTTAAACTGTTGTTTGTCCTCAAGTAACTTGCATGCACTGCAAATTCCAAATAGAAAAACAAGTTGCAACAATCATAATTGAACATCACCATATGAAATTTGTTTTACCTGACCATCATTCTAGATTCCAACTGCAATCCGAAAAATTTAGAAAACATCCTCAATCTTTGACAAGTACTCAACTTGTCTCTCATCTCACCGTGACTCATCCAATTGATATGATAGTCTCTCAATAAACATGCAAAAAATAATTTATACTGAGTTTGATCATATTCTAAAATAATTCATCAAAGAAATCAAAACACACACATTTGAGGGCTTTTTCGGTTGTATCTTACCTTATTGTTCATGTATGACATTTTTGGTAAGTAGGCTTAAGCCTTTGGAGTTAGGTACCTAGTTCTCCTGTTGTTATCATATCAACTCTTTTCCTGATTAACGGTACTAGAGATATCGATATTGTGGTCTTCAATATTCCTTTTGCATTTTTTCTTTTTTTTTTTTTGATCATTTTTTCTCTAGTACCACAACCCCAAACTTAAACCTTACTCACTTCCAAGAGCAACTTGTTAAGTGCAAATTTTGACTTAAATTGAACCATTTTTCTTGCCATTTTTCAACTCATTTCTCATGTTTTAATGAATTTATTTCTTGTTCTTA